AACAGAGTCAGAAACAAAAAGATCAGTTCAAAATCTCTCCCAGATCCCTCCCCTAACAAAACAATGAAAACTAACTCCTAATTCTCTCAAGAGACTGAATATCTGGACACAAAGAGGGTAAGGGGAAAAAAGGGGATAAACAAAAAATGGGGTATAATCAAAAAGCACACAGTGGACATGCTCAATTCTGAGATCAGTAGTGAGACGGTAAAGTAGTCCCTATCTCCTTCCTGTAGCAGGTCAACTGACTCCACCTAAAACAACTAGGGAAAAAAATACTTAAAAATATGGAGGCAAATATCAAAACTCAGAGTTGCCAGCGATAGCTTCTGGAGAATAAGACACAGGAAAGGAAGGGAACAGGGCATGACTGCTATTTTTGGTTATAAGCTGTCGCAAAAAAAAAAAAAAAATTGTTTTCTTCAATATCCATTTACGTTTTCTTCCTTACTGACAAAATCATAGGCACGTGTTGATCAAGAAACAAAAATTTGGAAAATTTCCTAACCTTTCTTTTTTTCTGTTTTTGAGATGGAGTCTTGCTCTGTCGTCCAGGCTGGAGTGCAGTGGTGTAATCTTGGCTCACTGCTGCAACCTCCGCCGCCCAGGTTCAAGTAATTCTCCTGCCTCAGCCTCCGAGTAGCTGGGGTCACAGGCAAGCATGCCATCACACCCGGCTAGTTTTTGTATTTTTTAATAGAGATGGGGTTTCACCATATTGGTCAGACTGGTCTCAAACTCCTGCTGACCTAGTGAATTGGCCCACCTTGGCTTCCCAAAGTGCTGGGATTACAGGTGTGAGCCACCCGGCGGAGCCTCTAACATTCTTTTCAAATGGGGATAACTCAAGATGAAAGTGAGTCATTGAGTAGACTTTAGAATAACTTGGATTGGTTTACACCACAGTGACACCCAGCTCCTGCCACTGGCAAGTCAGATGTGATGGTTGCGACTCAAGCAATTACCTTGGATCCTGACACCAACTCAAGATGGTAAGACAAGGATGACTGACAAGAAAGAGCAAATGATCGTATTACCACCACACCGTCTCTACACTGGCTATTCAAGATATTTTTATAGGGGAAATAAATGCCCACCTTATTTAAGCCACTTAGGTCTCTATTAGCAGAAAAATGCAATTCCTGGTATTTAGGCCTTATATGACTTCAAACTATGTATATTAATAAAAAACAAAAGAGACGTGACAATCAAAACTATCTCCCGAAATTGCCAAATGTCCCCTATGGGAAACAAAATCTCTGAGAACCCCTGCCATAGAGATCTTACAAACCCCGCCACAGTTATTTTATAAATCATTGTGTTTCACCAGGAACATTCAACTTTTCTAGTTAAATAAAAGAATTTAAGAATTCCTAGAGTTTCTCTAAAGTTTAGTGCAAGACGCAAATTATAAGCTACTTACAGATTATCTCTAATGTCGCTCTTAAATCCTCAGAGGATTTTACAAGAGAGAATATTAATAGCATCTACCTATTTAAGTTCTATCTATGTGCTAGGTACAATACTAAGTACTTTATGTTCATTCTCTCTTTTTACATTCATGACATCCTCACAGCATGAATATTAACCCTATCACAGTGTATAATAATTTTAAATTATATTTTAATCAATATATCAAAGTGGTTACAGAAATCCTTTTTTATTAATCATTATGTTCATTCTAGGACTGAACTAAGAAGAAAGTGTCTTAACTTCCTCAGTTTACAACCAATTTATGCCCAAAAAAATCAATGTATCTGGTGGCAAAATAAATGGAGTCATTAAAACTTTCAGGAATTAGAGAAGTGTTTACAGCACTTAACAAATCAGACAGTAACAGACTGCTTCTTGAAACACTTTTTACTACTGTGTCATAATGCAGGAGCACTTTATAAATTTTTCATCCATGATACCAAGTTATTTCCAGAAACTTCTTTTTCCTTTGACATCACTTGCAAAAAAAAAAAAAAAAAAAAAAAAAACCCTCTTTAATTGAGGATTTACTTATAATTTCAATCTGCTTTTCAGCAGAAATTGAAGACTAAGTTGAAATCCCAGCATGTCTACATAGTGGAAACTAAGACACATTAACTTGTTCAGGCCTCAATTTCAACCATGTAACTTGCTGTCTGAAGCTTAAGAGCTGGTAAGCCTTCCCTAAAAGTTACTTTCCCCTACCTTTCCTCCTCAAAGCAAATTAAGTATCAGTTAAGGGCCAATTTTATTTTAGCATTTATTGAGTCAGCTAACAAGAGCCAGGGGAGGATGAGACAGGGCCAGTCCAACATTACACTGTATCTTCTGCTTTACTTTTCCTTATGATATAAGACACAAAAACCTCTCTGGAAAAGAAGGGTTCCTTCCTCTCTCACTGTGCCCACATAACTAACTGCCAAGAAATTTTGATTCATATTTCCCTCTAAAAAGAGGAAGATAAACTGGAGACTTTCTTTGAAACACGACTAAGCTGTCTGTATAATTCATGTATGTAGTTAACTGCCGCATACCCCAAGTGCACATATCCATTTCATCACTCACGATTAAGTCATTTACTAATAAATAATTAGTATATTATATATTATATTTAATATTAATATTTTATATTATATAACATTTAATATTAATATTAAATATATAACATTAAATATATTGTGTATATTATATTAAGTATAATTATACTTCATATATTATACATAATATATTATACTTAATATAATAAATATAATATGTATATTATACATAATATAATAAATTATTATACTTAATATTAGCCTCAGTAAGTGTCAGAAAACCAAAACTTTAAAAAGATATCTTCAACTAGGAATTAAATAATCCCCTGCTTCCCTTACTGGCAAATAAAGCAATTACTATGGTAGAATTTTATTTCTCAGTAGATAAAATTCAACTTAATAAAGGAATATTTTATTCCATCTAAAAGTTTTAATATCAGAAAGGACTTCACAAAGCACAATCACGACAGCACCTCAGAGCAGCCCCGTCGGTAATCTAAAGTATTTTAAATATGTAAAGTTTCCAGTAATAAACTATTTCCAGGTAAAAGCTGGTAACATGAAAGTATGTCAGTCTAAACATAATTTAGCAATAGAAAATACAAGTTCATTAAGTTCTTCCTGTTTAGTTTTATTTCCTTGGATATACAGGAGGTAGGGAAGTCATAAAATAGTCAACTTCATTTGTTCTTAAAATATTGTACTGTCACTATTCAGACATTGTTTTGCAGGCTAAATCTGTCATTGGTTCTAAAAATTTTAGTTGCTTGCTAATGGTATAAAAAGCAAAACAAAAAATTAAAGAGATTTTTCAGCCCTTGAATATATTAAAAACATGAATTGTATCCTAATTTTCCAAAGTTTAAAATTCCAACAGATACAAAAATCTACCAGTAGCGTGGTTTCTATATGTAAAAAGTATAGTTAGAAAACAAGTGCCCTGAAAAGACGACACTGAACCTCTAAATTCAGTGAATGCCAATTATCAAAATAAAAGTATATTTTCAAGAAAGTCATCAACTAAGCAATGCCAAAGAAACTGACACACCCTTCCTTCTTTATGACACGGGGGAAAAACATGAACAAAAGGCAAGTTAAATTAAAACATTAAAAACTTACCTGAATGTAAGTTCAACTTGTGTTCAAAAAATGTCAACTCCATCCTTTTTCTTTCAATGCTTGTAAGGGAATTCTTACAGGCATTCCCTTACAGGCCCTGAAAGAAATCCCTTACAAGCACTGAAAGACATGTCAGCAAACATGATGTCCACTTCTCATTAACTTTATTTCCTGCTTGTTATCAGAATGGAATTAATAACCTGATCCAAACCCTTCACATAATTGAACTATTACTCCTCTTTGACAGAAGGGGAAACAGAGACACGGAGTAACTTGTCCAAGGTAATAAATTCAGCTAGGAGATGGTGGGGCCAGAATCTGAATGCTGTACGTCCAAAATAATAGACACATTTAAAAAGGGGTGGGATGGAAAATGAGCAGTTAATTGTTTTTGTTGTTTTTCCAAGTAGCTTGCAAAACAAGACTGTTGTGAAAAGGAACAGACGTTTAAAGTATAAATGCAACTAGGTAAGAATGCAGAATACACAAACTGTACCCCTAAACAAGTCGGGGTGTATTGCTATATTTGACTAACACTTTGAACAACATCAAACCCCTGTGAGAGTCGACAGAGTAAATAATTTAACGTCACCGTTCAGACACTGTGTTTTACAGGCTGAATAAAATACGCTAAAAATTGAAGGATGGGGGGGGTGGTGATGTTAACCGGAGCAAGTTTCAGGAAAATTACTCATTATAAGCAGTTAATTAGAAAAGAGTGCGTGTGTCAACGGAAGGAGGTTTTTAAAATAAAGATGACAATCACACTGCCTTAACGCACCCTCTGTCCGAAAAAAAGTAACTAAATCACCGCGGGGCAGCGTCTACGCCAAGGGGGAACCGGCCCAGCGGGCTTTTGTGAGGGGATGACAGGAGACCCTAGAAGAGGGGGAACGGTGGCAATGACAGGAAAGAGGGCAAGTCTCCGATCCCGGAAAAAAGGGGAGAACATCGGGGCAAGCGGCAGAGAAGGGAAGACAGAAAATGTTACGAGAGGTGCCAAATGAGGTGCGAAGGACCAAGGTAGGAAGCGTAAGAAAGGCGGGACTCAGGCAGGAAGGTGTGTTTGGGGTAGGGAAGGCTTGTCAGGGCACAGCTCTCCGGACAGCCGACCTTCCTCCTTCCCAGCTCCTGCATCCCCAACAAACTCTCACTTTCTGACCAACCCTGAGCCCGCGAGTCACCCTCGCCGTGCTCCCCGCCCCCCACCCCCTGCCGGCTAGGTGGAGGAGGGAGCTTCACCCTCACCCGCCTTGTTGGGGCAGAAGATCGGGCACTGGACAGACACCAGATTCACGGACGAGAAGGCCAGGAAACGCAGAAAGGCCCAGGACCCGGGTGACAAGTCGGGGCGACCAACGGGCGCCTCACCTGACAGAAGCGTCGGCAGTAATCCCGACTGCTGATCCCGACGCCGGCGCCGCAGCTGCCGCTGCCAGCGCCGCCTCTGCCGTCGCCCGCAGCTCTAAGCCCCACAGGGCCCAGCGGGGACTCCACAATGGCCACGAGCTCTTCTCCGAGGCGTTCGGCCTCTTGGTCGCTCTCTTCCTCCGCCATGAGGCTCTCGCCGCCCAGCGCGTACCAGCCCTGCGCCGCCGCCGCTGTAGCTGCCTAGGCTAACCTCCTCCTCCTCCCTAGTTCCCTCCCCCTTCCCTCCTCCCTAGCCGGACAGGGGCCTCTCGGCTGGGCTCTACTTCCGGCTCCGCCCACCCACGCCCCCCGGTTTTATTGGAAAACGAGAGCTGCCAATCATGCTCATGCCCGCCCTTCCACTACTATTGGTCAAATTAGCAGTCTGTTTGATAGACCGGCCATCTGTTGGTCAATGCTGCTCGGCGGTTGCTGGGGACCGCCTACGGGCTCTGCCATAGGCGGTGCAGGCGGACGGGGCGCGGCGGGGGACACGGCGGCCGCCGCGGGGCTTGATCGGGCAACGGCAGCGACGGCGGCAGCGACGGATCTTCCTCCTGCCTTGTTCCTTGCTCTTTCTTCCTCCTCTTTTCCTTTCCGGCCGAGCCTTGTCCACTTCCCTTAACGGCGGTCTCGATCCTACGGTACCAAGGAGCTAGGGAGGCCGAAGGTGGGCCCGGCCGTTGGTGCGGGCTCTGGGCCCCGGGCCTTCCGTCCTGAAGCTGGAACCGGGGGCGGGGCCGGGGCACAGTTGTCGGCGGGAGGAAGAGGGAGGAGACGGGAAGCCTGACAGCGGCCGCCTCCGCCAGGCGCCTGCTGCCGCCTCCCTTGAGACTGCCGCCAACTCGGCTGTCGAGTTCCCGGGCCCACAGCTGGCACCTGGGACTCGGCCCTGCCCGGCTAGCGGGGTCGGGACGGTGGGGCGCCGGCGTGCTGGGCTCGGCGCCGAAGGAGGGAGCCCAGACGCCGGGAACGTCCCGCGCCCCGGCTCTCCCCCGCCCCCGCCCGAACCTCGGGGCCTGGGGAGCCTGAGGAGGTGCCTAGCGGGCGGACCCCCGAGGAGGACCTGGGGAAGGGAAGTGTTAGGGTAAACGTTGGAATCGAGTTTGTAGTGTGGAATTAGCTACCAAGCGGTTTTGGAAACACCTGCGTGGTGGCAGTTGTTGACGTTCTTGTTCATCTTTTCAGTCACCTCCTTCCCTTCCGTCCCCCATTTTTTTCCCTTCCATTTGTTTTTCGTGTTTTACAGTAAAGGCATGACTTCCTGGCACCACAGGGAAAATCGGGTGCAAGCCCAGAAACTATTTCCCCACCACCACTTGTTGAAAAACTGATTTGAAGGCATCTTCGGGATTGAACGAAAAGTGCCAGGATTTGATGTGCCTCTGGTTTTGCTCTGGAGACCCTTCCTTGCTAAGTATCAAGACGAAAAAAACTGGAAACTAATCCGGTAAACCCTGAAACTTGAAAATTTATGATGAGTTTTGTTTTGATCTAGTAAATGATTTGCTTTTTCCCTTTTGTTGGCTAACTCGTGCACTTTTTAATTTCTTCATTTGTTGAAAATATCTTTATCTTCTATTAAACATTTTTGTTCTTCTGGTATGTAAACCCAAGCCACCTCTACTGGGTGGAAGTTTGCCTCTGCAGTAACACAGACAGACTTTTTGAAATTATAAAATCTTTGGAAAATATAGGCCTTTCACATTAGCAGAAATAATTGAGCATTTTATGCTACAAAGAATTACATGCTTGGTTACTGTTTTTGAAATCCAAATATTTAAAGATACAAGACTTTTGACATAGTGAGATTTAGGCATTACAGGGCACAGATATTTCATGTTGATCACAACTAGGTTAGAACCATTAATCGTAGTAATTGGTACTGATTTGTCTTGGGAGTGTAAAACATACCGTTTACTTAAAGTACAAACGTGTAATGGTAAGTACTAGGTAGGAATCATAACTGTCTTCTCTGCCGTTGCAAACCTGTAGCCTAACACAACATTTGGCAAATGAGAGTTGTGCACTTAAAATAAGGAAATGAAATATATTAAAACCTAGACTTTATTGTACTTTTCAGAATTTCTGTGAAATGTTTGATTTTTTGGATCCGTGGTGTCTGATACACTGGCAGTTTATAGTTCTTTTGAAAGAGTTCCTGTTACCCAGCTATTCTTTAGTATGTGTTCATGGAATACTCCATAGTTTCTGATTACACTTATAAAGCATAATTCTTCAGAGCACACTTAGAGTTCTTTCTCTAACGTATTTATGCAGACAGAATTTCATCTGGAATTCTGTCAAATTCACTTTAACTTCTTAAAAGTGTTGGTTATTGTAAGAGCCTAAAGGTATGGCCCCAGGGAACAATTAAGACTTAATGATGCTTTTCACCTACCAAAGTATGTTCCTTATCTAAAGATTTCGATGCCCATAAGGCTGTGATTTTGTTACTTAGTGCTGTGGTCATGAAAGGATGTTATTAGGATAAGTTGAGAAATTATTAAGCTGCTTCTACATTAAATAAGTATAAGTATTTGGACAGATAGTGAAGATACTCATTTACGTTTTCCATCAACTTGTTAAATTGAGGTTTTGCTGTATCCTAGACACTATGTTCTTGATTTTGTTCTTACTAATCAGTGAAATAAATATTAACAAATATAATTATTAATTTTAATTTAAAAAGGAAACGAAAGTATTAGAGAAATAAGACTTTGCATATCTTAACACCTTTTGGAAAACAGGTGTACATGCATTACAGAATAACTTACTTTGAACTCTATTTTGGCTTTACAATTTAATGTCATTGTTGCTGTTAATTGCATTTGGTCTGGGTTTTGTTTTTTTGGAGCTTTTACTCAAAAGAATTTTTGAAATTATATTCATCTTCATATAGAATTATGGCAGTTTACAGGCCCACCTGTTTGAAAAAACTTTTTCCACAGTTTGTTCCTAAAATCAGTCATCCCAGAATTGTGACAGGAAAGAAGCTCTTTTAAACTAGAATACATATCTAAATTGGAGGAGAGTAATATAAATTATACCCTAAATGTTGACCTGCAATTAGGTTTCCCTGAGTAACAGTGACATCTGGGTTAGTGTGAGTTCTTTCTTTGTAGTTCTAATTTATTTGAATTTCATAAAAATCAAGGAATGGACCTGAGTGTTACCAGTTAGTAACTTGTTCTAGTTTTGCCTTTCCTTATATATTTCGGGTAAGTTAAGATTAGTAGACACACTACTAATTTGTAGTTTATTGAAGTCTTTAATCTTAAAGTGTTTATATACCGCCTTTTATTGTTAATTACTTTGAGAATGAACTGTTGTTATAACACTTATCTTTGTTTCTTTTGTCTTGAAAGAACCATATTTATTTAGAGTGAGAATGGAGCGATTTGTAGTAACAGCACCACCTGCTCGAAACCGTTCTAAGACTGCTTTGTATGTGACTCCCCTGGATCGAGTCACTGAGTTCGGAGGTGAGCTGCATGAAGATGGAGGAAAACTCTTCTGCACTTCTTGCAATGTGGTTCTGAATCATGTTCGCAAGTCTGCCATTAGTGACCACCTCAAGTCAAAGACTCATACCAAGAGGAAGGCAGAATTTGAAGAGCAGAATGTGAGAAAGAAGCAGAGGCCCCTAACTGCATCTCTTCAGTGCAACAGTACTGCGCAAACAGAGAAAGTCAGTGTTATCCAGGACTTTGTGAAAATGTGCCTGGAAGCCAACATCCCACTTGAGAAGGCTGATCACCCAGCAGTCCGTGCTTTCCTATCTCGCCATGTGAAGAATGGAGGCTCCATACCTAAGTCTGACCAGCTACGGAGAGCTTATCTGCCTGATGGATATGAGAATGAGAATCAACTCCTCAACTCACAAGATTGTTGACTAGAAGTTTACCACCATTGTGATCAAGATAAATGTGGAGTATTAAAGTTATGTGTTGATTGTGTGGTTCATTTTTATATTTATTTCATTTAAAATCATGTGATGCAGAATAGTTTTGCAATGTGTATATAGTTGCAGGCAAAAAGAAAAAAAAAAAAAAAACACCTCACTGCAAAACTTAATGTTTAGTCACCAATGGTATAAAGCAAAACCTAGGTTTAGATTGTGCTAGGATACCTGAAACCTGATGGTTATCTTTAAAATTGATGGTTTTTCTCCTGAAATGTTTGTGCATGGAAGAACTGCCCTGCTTTTTACCCTGTTGCCATGTATGATTATTCCTTGTGAGATTACTTAATTACTTGGCTTGAAGACTAGCCTATTGAAGCTGCTGCCAGGCACCACCACTTAACAGTAACTTAAAGGAATTATTTCTTTAGAGGATCGTCTTCAAAAAGGAAAGGATAGTGGGAAACTTCTTATATCTTCAGATCCCTAGCAGAAATGACTGTGTTTATTTCAAACTATGTTTTACTTGTATGTGATGTAGTTAACTATCCTTCAATTCTATATTTCCCCTGCCCCCATTATAAAGGCTTATTGTATTTTGTAGCAGCTTCAAGTGACCAAAAGACTAAAATCTTTCAATGTCGATGCCAAAAGCCAAGGGGAATTTTGCAGTGACAAGATTTTAGTCTCTTACTATGAATACAAATTTTGAACCATAGCTTTCATTTTAAGCATCATCTTGAATTTGCAAACTTTTCTATGTCTTGGTGTTAAAAGATTTCCAAGATTGGCATTTTTATTTAAACAGGTAGACATTTATGGTTGAGTTTTCTCTTTTTATGGATAATTAGTAATGGTTTTTTTGGCTGACAGATCAGATAAAGTTACTTTCTATTCATTAATTTTTCCATGTGATTTTATGAATTTATTTAGGTAGTCTAGACTAGAAACAAGTTGACTTATTTTATCTGCTTTGCCTCTGGTGGTACAAGGTTTTTAACATGGATGGTAGACAGTTGTCTAGAAATTCTGGCAGGCTTTTTGTAGTGGAGATCTGGCAGTATCCTGCATAACTGTTTGAGTGAGGAAATCGTTCTCTTAAAGGTCACCTGTGTTCAGGAAATGATCTCTGTCTCAACCTCACTATCCTGTAAGATTACCCAAGTAGCTTAGCCCAGCTAAGTTCTCTCTATCAGAGACCCAAATTATATTTTTTAAAAAATTAACAGCTGGAAACTTGGACTAGAGCTTTAATTTTAAAAAATCTTAAATTCTTTGAAATTCAAGTTAAAAATATATATATTTCTATTACAAAGCAGTGATAAATGATGCCCTATGTAACTTGGAGTTACCTTTTGATTTTC